GCCCGCTTTATGCTTCCAATGGATTTTGGATCCTTTGAAAGTACTCTACGGAATCTGGAGGCCGCGTTGACATCATCTATGGACTCGGTAAAACACACCCAAGACCGTCTTTTGGCCTTCTTGATCTCACTGTTGTACTTATTGAAGGCTGATTTATAAGCTTCGCAGTCTGTACTCAGTTTGGTCTTGTTGGACCTGTTGTAGAAACGTCTGCTTGTCTTCCTGAGTTGGGCTAGGTCTTTTGACCACCATAGAGGCTGGTGCCTTTTTCCCGGGAAGGTTAGCGGACAAGCTCTTTCGTAGCTACCGATCAAGATCTTTGTTAGCAACTTGACACAGTCGTCCACATCCGATATAGAAGCCACTGGAAGATCTCCAGTGGACTTTAGCATCCATGCAGTGTGCTCTGCAAATTGGTCCCATCGAGCCTTTCTCGGGTTCCTATGCGGTTTTTGATGCAATCCCTCTACCGAAATTTGGAATGTTATTTTCCGGTGATCCGAGAAGGAGCACTCAGTCGAAACTTTCCAGTTCAGTATGAGCGATTCATCCATGTTAGTGAGAGTGAGATCTATAACCTCCTCTCTATTCTTGTTACAAAAAGTTGCCTCCTTTCCCCGGTTACAAATTTTGAGATTCTGTGTTAAAATAAAATCAAAAATGGACGCGCCTCTGTCATTAGTGTTGCTGCTGCCCCAGTGAGAGTTGTGAGTGTTGGCATCACATCCAACGATGAGACCGCCTTTTCCACCCAATTTTGTGACCAGCTCCTCTACCACTTGGCCTGGCGAGTCGGGGTATTCGAAGGGTAGGTACAGGGAGACAAGGAAGATGATTTTGCCCGTCCGAGTCTCCAGTCTGACCGCCGTGGCGTCTCCTCCGCTGAAATTATTGAGGAAGATTAAGTTTGAGTTTTTCCTAGCAACGATACACGTTCTAACCTTTTCCCCGTTGGAGGTGACATAGGTGATGTACCGCTCACTCCCTAGTCCAGTTACCTTATTCTTAAAGATGTAAGGTTCCTGGACCAGGGCTATGTCAACTTCATGCTTGGAGAGGGATAGGAGAAGCACAGCCCCTGTTGCCTTACAGTGATGCAGATTTATCTGCACGATGTTAAGCAGCTGTGGCTTCGTTCTTCCTACTGCGACAGCGGCGTTAGACGGAACCGAATCCATCCTGTGCCGAAGTGCAGTTTCCCCCCACGCGCCTGAAGGTGTTCCTGGCCAGCAGTATAAACAGATACCTTTATGACCAGGCCTCCTCCCTCGGTACTTGAGCCAACTATGCGCCAGCTGTCCGTACAGAGATTGGGATTTTGTTTCCCCAATATTGTCAGCACGCGTGACGGGTCCACAGAGGGCGGCGGCACCCATGCTGTCAATATCCTCCTGCAGGGGATTTCCTTCAGGGATACAGCCGCAAGTGCACTTCCATCCCAAAGTCCTTGAAGGTCAGCTACTGCGGTCAGAAGAAAGTTCTTCGACTCCTCATTTTCGCAGCAGATGACCTTCACTCCCTTGTAGACGGTAGCACTGCCAAATTGTAGCCTAGAAGGGTCATCCCCTAGGAAAACCTGCTCCCTCAGACGGTCCTCAATGAGAAGCAACCGACTTTCGCTGATTTTGCCTTCCGGCTCAGCTCGGTCGATGACCGCTACACGGAGATTGTCCGGGTATAGGGTTTGGGAATATTTCCTCTTCCTCGAATTCTGGCTCGAAGGTTGTGGGTTGGTGGTGGCGGAATTAGCCTTAGCAGACTTAGGGTCCACAGAAGCTGTTTCTACCGGCCTTGCCACTGTCTTCTTGCCAGCTACTGGCGCAGAAAATCCAGTTGGCAGAGGAGGAAGTTGGCCCGTTGACGGTTTCTTTGCCTCGGGGTGTGGTTCCTCCGTTGACCGTCCTCTCTTCATCGTTGCACGAGAAGAGGGTTTGGCCTCCTTTGGATCCACCGGGGCAGCATTTCCGCAAGGGGCGTCCTTCTTTTTATTCTTCCGCTTCCCTGCGTTAGATATGGGGGTGGGCTGCACTTGATTCCGTTGACGGTGCAGCAGCCGAAGCTGTGTTACCATCTTCGGGAGTGGAGTAGTTGGCTTGTCCTCAGACGGACTTACCTTCTTGGCGAGGTCTGTAAAAAGAGAGGCAAGATCCTTTCCGAGTGAACATTTTGGCAGTTCCGGATGGTTCTTTTCGAACTTCCGTACTGCCTTTAGGTTCCTCTTAATCAGGGCCTTATCCCTCTCTGTAATCTGTAGGGGATCACGACCGATGAAGCTTTTACAATACCTCACCGATCGTTTGTATCCCCTCCTTATTTTTCCCTCCTTCAATCCGGAGTCATCGTGGTTAATAGGAACAACAGTGTCCCCTTCCACGACGCCCTCCTGGACCCGGAGGTTGGCCGCACCGGTAGGTACCGATGGAACCCCTTCCACAGGAGTTGACCTCGCCTTGGCACTATATTGTGTGTCCCCTTCAGTATTTCGGACTAACTCACCCCTCAAAGATGATGGTATGACGGTGACGTCGAGCTCCTCATCAGAGAGGGGTGAGTCATTCCCAAAACCGGAGAGCACACTCTCTTGGCTGAGCCTCAGAATGTTCTTCTCTAGAAGGGCGGACAGTTGTTCGCTTTGTCGCTGTATGCTCTCGCATACCACGTCTCTGTATGTTTGCAGAGTCACGTCCCCGCCCGAAGTTAGAATCTTGTCCGTGTCCTGGGTCGACACCTCCAAAGAGGTGATTGAATTTTTGTCGGTTGTTGTTGTTTTGTTTTTAAAAGAGTTCTCAATACGATATTTGGACAGTGGAGGTGACGAGGTCCGCCATGACATAGCCTCCATATCATGGTAAGGACTTGGCAACTAAGCCTGTTACTCGTCGAGGCGCCCAGGTATCGACGAGGCAACCGTTCTAATACAGTCGGCACCTTGACTGCAAACCTTGGAACACTGATGGGCACGGTTTACGTAACACCCCAGCATTAGGGAGTCCGAGATAAAAAAAAACTGCAACAAAGTCAAAAGCCATAATTGTTAATTTTTTTTTTAAATTTTATTGAATAAAAGCAAAAAATGTCAGAAATAGAATCAAATTTTAGAATAAGTTTAGATTTGTTCGAATTGGTCTCCTTTGGCACGAATTATGGACTTCAAACGGCCAATGAAACCGTTTAGCCCATTCTCGGCGAAGCGCTTGCTTGAGTTGATCGACACTTTGGTATTTTTTAGTGCCAACCTTGCTTTCCAAAATACTCCAGACACAATAGTCCTACGGATTGTTATCCGGAGATTTTGGTGGTCATTGTGCGCCGGAAATGAAAAGGAGAGCGACCGTCGGCTGTTATGGCGGCCGACACTATCATCATGGCCAGCGCTTGATTTCTGGTGGCCAACCGAAGGTGCACGATCATTTTGTTAGTTTTAAAAACTGCTTAAGGGAATGTCTTCTCATCGGAGAAAACCAAATTCGGCAGTTTACCACATTCGGCCAAGCGAAGTAACTCATTAGCTCTTTTGAGTCTATTTCCTTTTTGTTGCGGTCTAAATTCTTGCACTTTTTTTTCATCTCACCCTGTAAATGTAATACCGAGATCTCATTTTGTATGTACCTAATTATTTTTATTAAACGTTGTTGAATTCACATTAATTATTATTTTATGTTTCAATGTAATTTTGATGTTTTTTGTAAAAAAAAAATACGCCGACAGAAATTATTCGAGTTGTTCAACTTATTCGATAAATCGAAATATTGGAGCAATTTAAGGCTCGATTAATTAAACAAATTAAAAACCCCAAAATCGATTAATTTTTAAATCAAACAAAACCTAAACCCGATTTATTGGATACTCTACTTTTTACTGAGTAAATAGGTGTGTCTGGTTACCCTAAAATTTGTAACAATAGTTACAAACTGTTACTGGAAGTCGTCTGTTAACCCAAAAGTTCTGCAAAAGAGAGCGGTTGGAGAGAGAAATTTTGACAGTTCTTTCAGTGAGAGTTTGCAAATTCTTGCTGGAAAAATTTCTTCTTGCAATCACTTGCAACTCTTCTTCTTCTCATTCATCGACATTCAATTAGATGTTTTCTATTGTTTGTTTATTTATTTTTGTGCTTTCAATTTGAAATTTTTTTGGAATTAGCAAGACTAATAGTTTTTGGAGAAAAACTTTACAAAATGTGAAAAACGTAAATGTTAATATGTAATAAGAAAATAAAAGACTATTTCCTTATGCTTTCAATTTGAAATTTTTTTGGAATTAGCAAGACTAATAGTTTTTGGAGAAAAACTTTACAAAATGTGAAAAACGTAAATTTTAATATGTAATAAGAAAATAAAAGACTATTTCCAACATTTTTATTTAAAAAACTTGTAAAATTAGTATTGCATCCTTTGTTTTAATTCTCCTTATGGGGGACAAATTGGTTTGTTTTGATTTGATTCAGCTGATTAGTTGCAAGCTTCTGCAGGAATACCGTCTGTTTACTTTTCGCATTTTCCTTGCAAAAGAGAATAAAACTACCTTACTCTCTCAGAAAGAAGTTACTGGACAATTCCTGCAGGAAAAGTAACCAGACACACCTATTACTGGGAAGTAAACGAACGAACCTAATAACAAAAAATATATTCAAATAAGTATATTTCATATAAAACAAGTAAAAAACATTAAGTTCGGCCGGGATGAACTTTTAATACCCTCCACCATTGGCTAAAGAAAACATTTTTATATAAAACAATCTGATTTCAAATGTGTTCCACTTTAAACTACAAATACCAGTACGACCGTTGAATTATGCTGTAGAACGTTTCAAAAAACCATCAAGTGGGTGAGGCCGTTATATGGGCACCATACCAAAACGGGAAAGTCTGTAGACTATTTTATACCTAAAGGATTGCCATCTACCAAATCTTCTTAAATACCAAATTTAAAACAATTTCTTGCGTAAATGTGACTAGGTTTATCAAATGAATATGCAATAACATTAAAGCAACAATAAACAATCTATTTTCATTGTATTTTATTATGAAATATAAAATAAATAATACACATTATATATTGATCAGTTACAATTCAAATATACATATTAAAAATATTTGTATAAAATATGCAAATATCCGGACACAAGTAATCTCCATATATATACATAGTTATTATTGTGTAAGTAAAAATAAAAATATCTTCACTTAAGACGTACTTTGCATTCACCTGTTTAACTAGTTTGGCGCTATTGAGAGAGTAATAGTCTTAGATGTCATTTATATGTGTATTCTTTTTTAGAGGTTTTATGCAGCAAATTGCTTAACACCTGAAGGATTCACATGAACTACGTCATGTTCTTCGTATTTGCAATATTATATGAGACTTTGGCCTGGTTGATTAATTTATTATGTGCCCAATGTTAACAACACATTTTTAAAATGAACACTCTGGTAAGTTTATGTAAACTGTGTTCTTTCTGGGCAAAATTGTGAGCATTTAGTATCTATGAGATTGTTAACAAAATCTACACATTTAAGCTGGTTATTGACTTCTTCATTGAGTACGTATTGGGATGGCCTTTCTATGTCATCATTATAAAAACCATTAATTGAATGCAAATTGTTAGACTTATCGTTGGAGTTTAAACCATTTACATGAATTTGTCCGCAGTCCAAAGTGGAACAGATTCCATTTTTATATATCGAAGACAGTATCTCTGAATGTAGATCGTCGTTTAGTATATGATTAAGGGCATTGAGAGAGTGCAACGACGATTCAGTGGAGTCAACATCTCCGGATTGTCTTACTGTAGTACAAGGCGAAGAAGGTGATATTGATGTAGAAACTGAATTATTCTTAGTACTTCCGAGCCTCGTCGCTATATGTATTTCAATGTGCCTTCTTGCCAATTCTACGTTATCAGCTTGACCAGTTACTTCAAAAATAGGTTCTTTGTCTCGCGACGGTGTTACTATATAGGTTTGAGTCTCATGCTGGATATGTTTGATTGTGTTACCTTTGGTTCCAACGACTAGTCCTACTAACCTATATGGCACTCTTACCTGCACAGTGATTTGTCCGGGTGTTTGAGATTTTGGGGACCCGTGTGATTTATTTAGTCCAATTATTTGGTGTTTAACACCAGTTTCAGGTGAATGCATGCCAACGTTGTCATTTATTCGTCGCGTAGCTCGTATAACAGTGAAATGTTCTGCAGCTGAAAGTATTTCCAGTTTTGCTTTGCTAACGTCCTCTTTGCGGCCGGTAACAACAAAAACGGGTTCTTCATTTCGAACGGGGGTTTTAATGTATGTGTTTGTTTTGGCTCGTAATGCCTTAATTTTACAACCTTGTCGACCAACGATTTCTGCAACATGTTCTGAACTTGGCACTGGAACACATTCAGTCATGTTCTGTGATTTTTTTGACCGTTCTTCATTAACAACAGATGTCAGCATTGGGTGACTGAGCTCAGCCAATGAGCTACTTTTACTGACAGTATTTTCATTGATGTCAGATAATTGTGTATTTAGAGACGTTGGATTTGAAACTATAGTACGAGATTGAGTCTGCAAAAAAACTTTGGTTGTCATACGATACGGATTGATAATTGGTGATAACGCCTGATCAAAAGTTGGTTGTATAGTAGCTTGCGAGAAAGTTTCTTGGTGCGGTTTACTATTCGCAGGAGATGGTGCTGATGTCAGTTGGGTTTGAACATTTTTTAAGTTTAGCATTGTTAATTCAACTGCTAATTTTAAAGTTCTTTCGTCTTCGCCATTTATACCGACATTAGAGGAAACAGTTTGCTGGCTCTTGACTAATTTCCCACGATGCTCATTAGGAAGAAAACTTGTATCTGCCCTACCATCAGCACCATTAGTTAAAAACATTGGATCTACTTCGTCTTTGTAATTGCTATACACAGTGGTAAGCATAGAGACACTTACCGGACAATCAGGGTATGAATTGCCACTCGGCTCTGATACACCTCTTGTAGAAGTCGTGAATAAATTACTGGATGTATTCTGGCCTATTCTAGGTGATGATTGTTGTATTGGGTAAGAATAAGTGGTTGTCGACGTGGGTGGATTTGGTGCTGATATATTTTCGCTTTTGATGCAGTATGAAGAGAAACATGAAGCTATTTTCGAGTTTACTGCATTTGATGAAGAAAAAGACGACTTAGAAGATGAAATTGGCGATTGTACACAATTAACCGTTGTCATTGTTATCTATGATGGCCTCGCTAATCTAAATGGAAGAGTTTGTCTACATCTTGTGTATTCGGACATATAGACCGACATTTCTCTAAATTGCCCCAATTTGGTACATGTCCTCCAAACCTATGAGTTGTAATACATTACAATTGACTTTCATTTCGATTACCAAGTCGGTAATTTTTGCTGACAGCCGGTATTTTATGTGGGCGTGAATACATTGCAAGTAAACGAAAGACTGCTGCATTCGTATATGTTGAATGTGTATGTATTTAAGGATTGATATTTTTAACATTTCGTTGAATTTGTAGTTTCGGATTTTTTCTTAACGTTGTGAAGTTGATGTACATCGTGATGTATGTATCGCAATTTTTCATATTTTTTTTTTTACTCTCCATGGATAAAATTTTACTTTTATGAATTTTAAGATTGTTATTGTTCCGTTTCGGTCATACTGTATAAATTGCAATATATTTATTGTGCGACCGGAAAGAAATTTACATAGCTTTATTCCAGAATACATAAATTGGACAATATTTTAGTCATGCGCATTTCTAAAAACAATCTAAGATTGAAACGGTGCAGAGCCGGAAACTTAGACCTATAAAGGCGCCATGAAAATAATTGTATAAGTTATGAATATAATCTAGGCCTATTTACTCCGCCTTAAACATGCGTTTACAGACGTCAAGTCAACTAAGTTCACTTGTGAATTGTCAAATGAACATACTTTCCTCGGGCTATATATATATATTTCTTTCCCTTTACTATACTATGGAGATTATATAAACTATGTCATTCCATTTGAAACTCTTCGAAATATTCATATTACCCAACAAAGTATATATATTGATTATATTCCATCCGTCTGTTGCAATAACGTTACCTTTCGAACGAATTGATATAAAGGCTAACATTTTGCATACATGTGCATGGCGGCCCACTTTTTCTTATAGCCCCCATACAACTGTAACTCCCGATATTCTCTATTTTTTAATTGTTTAAAATTCAGTACTTAGGGTAGAGTTGTAACGGGTTCTACATCCTGTGGCAGAACATTGTTTATATAGGTCCACGTTTTCTGAACCCATACAACGGTATCTCTCAATATTGAGTATTTTTCGATTTAAGCAATATTTTTAACGGAAGTGTTTCCAAGTCGGTACTTAGAGGTCGTAATGAATTCTAAATCAGAATATTGTGTATATTCGGTATGTAGTGTTTGTAATGGAATCAATCTCCTGTGGCGGAATTTACCTGGGTTTAATCCAAGACATAAAACTATAAAGTTTGGACAAAATGAATATAGCCGTTTGTTATCCCTATCAGGCAGTAGACGGGAAACTATTTTTTTCTTGGGTGACGGACCCGGGACCCCAGATTGGAAAGCTTATGGAAATACCTATCCAATAAGTGGTCACATTATAGGGTAAGTGGCCAAAGTTAGGAAGTTATAATCAAATGATCGATTTTTTGGATCCAAATTTTTTATAAAACCCCCAAAAAGTCCAAAATGGGCCCATAATGGGGTAAACAAAACTGATGCCAAATTATAGCTGACACTCTTCCAAAATGCACCTTTCCAAAATGCTACAATTTGTGGGAATACCTTTTTCGGGTCTAGAGGTATGGGTCTTTCAATCCGCATAACCCGATTTTAACCAGTTCATTAAAATTATGTTATCAGTAAAAAAATGACAAAAGTTTTCTAAATTTGACACTTTTTATAAATAGCCGGCCTTCGGCCGGGTCTTGATATTTTCTCCTCTGAGTATGTCCAACACCGGCTAACGCGAACCAAAATTTTCTAAATGTGGTGCTTTCGTAATCCAACGACGGCTACGCGAAATAAACCTTTTTATTGAAAACATAATTTTAATGAACTGGTTAGAATCGGGTTATGCGGATGGAAAGATGAGAGTATCAGCTATAAATTGGTTTATAATTGGTTGGGGGTTTTATAAAAAAATCCGGGTCCAAAAAATCGATAATTTGACTATAACTTCCAAACCGTGACCACTTACCCCATCATGTGACCACTTGTTGGATAGGTATTTTTATAAGCGATACCTATATTGTCTAAATCGGTTAATTGGATTCGGGTCTAGTCGGGGTCTTGAGCCCGGACTTTAAGGTTAAAAATCTGGGGTCCCGTGTCCGTCCCCCAAGAAAAAAAATAGTTTCCCGGGATCAGGGTAAAAATACCTACCACTGGCTATTTACAAAAAGTGCCAAATTTAGAAAACGTTTGTTATTCCGAAGACTGCTACGCGAAATAAACACTTTTTTTATTGAAAACTTCATTTTAATGAACTGGTTAGAATCGGGTTATGCGGATGGAAAGGTCCATATCTCTGGACCCGAAAAAGGTATTAGAACAAATTGTAGCATTTTGGAAAGGTAAGAGTGTGAGCTATAATTTGGAAACAATTTTGTTGACCCCCATAATGGGCCCTTTTTTGACTTTTTGGGGGTTTCATAAAAAATCCGGGTCCAAAAAATCGATAATTTGACCATAACTTCCAAACCATGACAACTTACCCCTTCATGTGTCCACTTGTTAGATAGGTATTTTCATAAGCTTTCCAACGATATATATATATTGTCTATATCGGGTAATTGGATCCGGGTCGGATCCCAGGGTCCCTGGGGTCCCAGGTCCGTCCCCCAAGAAAAAAAATAGTTTCCCGGAATCAGGGTAAAAATTCCTACCTCTGGAAAAAATTTCGAAGAGTTTTTACTAAACTAGAGTTGTTCCACCTTATACCACCTATAAACTAGAGTTGTTCCACCCATACCTGTTCCATGCCACACTGTAAGTTACAATTTTAATTATTTGAATGACGTGCCCCCATTTTGCACCGGAACTGTTACAATTTGCATTAGGAGTCCGCAATGGACTCTTCGTAAGCCCCAATGAAATTTTGTATTTGGAGTTTGTAATGGGCCTGACGTCTGCTGACACTGATACTCAACTCTTTCTCAATTGTTCTTCATATTTCGTTTGCAATGTCAAAAATTATTAGCATTTCAGACCGTTTGTTTTATTTATAAGGCGTTTGCGTTTTACAGCGTAGCCTAAAATTCAACGTACCGTATACAGATATTCAATTTCCCCACCACGGTAAAATGTTTTGTACGTCCGTATTACCCAAATACGTCAGATCCATCTCTTAAAATATACCAGAAATACATTGAAGAATTTGATACTTTTTAAATTAATCCAATTGTAATATTTTCTAATTACAAAAATTTACATTTTTTGTATAATTTTTTTATTCTCAACACAAAACAAATGAATTGTTAAATTGTCAATGTTGAAAATGTTCAACTTCAAAATTTTGTACGCCGTACGTATTTGATAACATTTAATACATGTGTTTTACTTGTGTGGTGAAGAAATTGTCAAATAGACGAAGATACTTTTTGCATTTGCTGTTAGTAAATATGAAGTTACAAAATCCTATATTCGGGGCTGTCTTTTCCAAAAATTTTCAATCTGCCCTACCTTGTAATCATTGTACCATGGGTACAAGTACACATTTTACAAGTTAGGCCATGGAAATGTTATTCATGTTTGGTCAATTTTCTTCCATAGGAGGAGGTATTCATTTTTTAAATATAAAATAAAAAGTTATAAACCATTTCTTTCTCAGCTTTAGTGTCCAACGGAGTCCTTTAGATTTATCAGTGCTAAAATCGAATTATCTACCGTTGGAGTCAGCGCATTTCAGATGCATGTATTTATCACATCAATAACACGGTATAAGGCGATTGGTGACGTTTTTTGTTCTGTTCCAGGACAGCAAGAAGTTAAAAAATTTTACTACGATAACCGATTTTCCTTTATTATATCGGAAAAAAATGCAGAAATAGTAGATTCTTGAAGGTTCTGGAACCTAGTACAATCCATGGTAGAAAATAAAAATAAAACTTTGCAAGAAGTGCAAGTTTATTCAAAAACCTGACACTTTTCACATATTTTTTTATATTAAATTAATTGAATTGGATTAATCAAAAAGGAGCTATAGACCGAATAACTTAAGTTTTCACAAATTTAATTTTGGGAGGACACAAATGGAATTTTCCAGAACTGCACGAATGTAAAAGTTTTAACCACAATAACCGATTTCCCTTTATGATATCGTAGAAAGATGCAAAACTAGTAGATTCTTGCATTAAACATTAAGTTCGGCCGGGCCAAACTTTTAAAACCCCCCATCTTTGGGTAATGAAAACATTTTTATATAAAAGCATCTGAATTCAAACGTGATCCACTTTAAAATACAAATACTGGTAAGGCCGTTTGGGTAATGCTGTTAATCTTTCAAAAAAAAAAAAAAAAAAAAAAAAACTATAAAGTGGTGAGGCCATTATATGGGGGCCATACCAAAACGGGCAAGTCTAATAGACTATAGTCTATAGACTCTATGGACTATTTTATACTTCAAGGATTGTCATATATCTAATCTCCTTAAATATAAATTTGAAACAATTGCGTGGGCAAATGTGATTAGGATTATCAAAATACCGAGTATCGGTAGGTATCATTTTATGTGCGCTATAGGACAACGTGGACCTAAATTTTCAATATTCTGCCGCCGGAGCTAGAACCCATTATGAACTACAAATACCAATTGTTTGGCAAATTCATACAAAAATGTGGCAAAAATAATCAAAATACTGAATATATGGAATTACCATTATATGGCCTATACAAAAACACAGTATAATTTGCGGTGATCTCTGTTTAAACACATCAACATCCACAAGCCACAAGGAAAAACATGGTTAATGGTTAAAAATGCTACAATGGTTATTAGCACAAATTGTAGCATTTTTGAAAGGTAAGAGTGTCAGCAATATTTGGCGCCAATTTGGTTGACCCCCATAATGGGACCTTTTTCGACGTTTTGGGGCTTTTATAAAAAATCCGGTTACAAAAAATCCATAAATTTGAAATATCCTGGAATCAGGGTAAAAATATGTACCTCTGGAAAAAAAATCGAAAAAATCTAAGTTTTTTTATTAGGGCTTATCTATAGTCTTGTAAAAACTTCGATTTAGATATTTTTCGGTAGATATTTTTACCCTGATTCCGGGAAACTATTTTTTCACTGTAGCAGCAGCTGTGTCGATGCGTCTACCTATATTCTTCTATCATGCTTTGGAGTTAGAACACACAACGTACAATGAATGGTACGTTTAGACTATGGATGATTAACTCGCTGGGCTTAATATATTCGGTGGGTTAACCCATGGCAGAAGAATACAGGTAGATGCATCAACGCTTGGGAGCATTAATATGTCAAAAAAATTTAAATGTTTTTTTCAAATATAAGTAGATTTTCATATACTTTCATATACTACGTCATTCGGAGGCTATTATAATTCGCGTTTTTCAACAATTTTTACAAATTTAAATAATTTTTCGAGTTTTGCCTTGTTAAGGCGAAGATCATATGTTTTATGAGTTAAGTGTTTGTTTTCTCTTTCGAGACGAGCTTAATGATCTGAAATTTGCAGTGAAAAGGAAAGCCAGATAGACACTAT